AAGGCACTTGACTGCTAACCAGAAGGCTGGCAGTTCAAACCCACCAGCCACTCCTCGGAAGGAAGGTTGGGCAATCCTACTTCCATAGTGATACTGCCTCAGAAACTCAAGGAGGGGTCGCTATGAGTCAGGGCCGACTCGACGGCATATAACAACAACAACAAAACAAAAATAATCATAACTACCTCATTAGATTACTTGGGACACAAAAGGCACTAAAGCACTAGCTGCTGCTACTATTATAACCAGAAAGCCAGAGAGCAATAACTCAGGCTCAGGCAACAATGAATGAAAATAACAATAGTAGCTTTAGACATTGTTATCTGGCCCATTTATTCCCTCCATTACTACTATCTTCAAGAATTCTTCCTCTCTTTTCTATTAAATTTACATTACTTCCAGCTAAGTTTTATAAAAACTACAAAATTTGATGTCTGTATATTCCAAGTGAAGCATCAATTCATCTTGGAGTTTCTTGAACACGGGGCGGGGGGGGGGGGGATCAAGTCAAAATTAGGCTCATTTTTCCTCAAATTAAGTAACTTTAAAATCAGAACCAGCAAATATGCGCTGAATAACTGCCTAGCTTTAATGCCTGGATATGTAAATAGTTCATTCAATTCCCAGGACCAATATTTTGGAAGTTGTTCATGAACTGAAGTTAATTTTTAACCTTGCTCACTGCATATAATAAAAACATAGATGGGCAGGCAACTAAAATTTATGGCTCAACCATTTGTTAAAAATAGATCTCATTTTTTATTCGAAGTTTAAGCCAATCTCAGAAGGGTTATGGCCACAATTTAGAAGTTAGTAGACTGCAAAGTGGTAGCATAGTGGCTAAGACACTTGCCTGCTAACCAGACGGCTGGCGGTTCAAACCCACCAACCACTCCTCGGAAGGAAGGTTGGGCAATCCTACTTCCGTAGTGATACTGCCTCGGAAACCCAAGGAGGGCTCACTATGAGTCGGGTTTGACTCCACGGCACATAACAACAACAACAGACTGCAAAGTACATGGTGCAATCCTTGCCTTAACCAAAGCAAAACTACTTGTTAACGTAACTGCCTACTGACAAGAAAGGCGCCCTGGTGGCGCAGCGGTTAAGCCCTAGGTTGTTGTTGTTATTTGCCATCGAGTCGGCCCGACTCATAGTTCAGGAGCTTCACGGGACAAAGATGAGAGTCGGCTTACAGTAAAGATGCATTCACAGCCTTGGAAACCCTAAGGGGCAGTCCCACAGGGTCCCTATGAGTCAGAACCAACTCTACAGCAATGGTTTGGGGGTTTTCTCCTTTTTTTTTTTTTTTTTTTAATTGACAAGTCAGGTTAGTAACATGTTCAAAGAAGATTTCAGAAGGCCCAATTCTGATTAAAAATAGTTCAAGAGGCATTTAAATCTGATCAGGTTTTCGCACATTTAAAGCGGGAAGATGCTGATGTACATTAGTATGTCCACAAAACAACAATCTGCCTTAACCTACAGGAACAGTTTTAACTCTAATCTCGGGTCGAAAGCCCTTAACTATGGAGCTTTCAGTTTTAGCAGAGAAAGTGCCTTTGACTCTACAGTGGAAATCTGAGAGGATGAACAAAGAAAATGTGTTGTCCTTCCGCAACCACCCCATATGAAAGCCCAACCAACAGAGAATATTATTCTCAGACGTTTCAGAAGAAAGTGTGTCCCCTTTCTCTAGAGTCCGTCATTATAACGGCCACCCTGGAAAGAGGGCTTCCCAAATAAGGCAGCAGGAAGTGACCTGACTGGTCCTAAAGAGAAGTAAATCAACACCGAAAGCCAAAACAACCCAGACCCCTCCTCAGCTGGAAGAAAGTAAAGAGCGAAGGGCGAAGAGTTACAGAGCAGAAGGCTAATAAACAGCCACAGAAGCAGCACTGCCAGGACTCCGACCCTGCGAGGAAGGACGGTGAACCTTCTCGGCTAGCACATGTGGCGCCGACACTTGCGGGTGCCCAGCGCTGCGGCGCACCGGGCAGTTGGCCAGTCTCTCCGCCACCTCCCTTCCCCCAGCGGCCGCCCTCCCAGCTTTCTGCTGCCCCTGAAGTCCAGGCCCAGTCTACCTCCACCGACAGCAGTTCTACAGCGTTGGCCACGCGACAGGCCCTGTTGCCGTAAGGGTATCACTCCGCAGCGTTGACCTTCCTGTTTCTGGGCTGAGACCTGGCGATCTGGGTCAGGGGCCAAGCCCGCGGGCGCCGGCGGTCTGTGGCCCTCCACCACCCTCGTCCGCAGCCGCGCCCCCTACGACAAGCGCGTAGCACGCTGGACCTCGTAGTCTGAAGCTGAGGCAGCGCGAACTTCCGCTCTTCATGTAGGAGGGCGGCACGTAACCTGTCGCGCGCCGGAAGTGACGTCACAAGACGGCTACTCGCCGCTTCGCAGTTTCCGCAAACAGAATTGTGGCGTTTGGTTCTGGTGAGTATTGGCACTGGTGAGTGTGGGGGCTGGATCCCCAGCCCTTGTTTCTTCCAGTGTTTAGCTTCTCCGCCCCTGAGGCAAAAGTAGGACACTCCACTCCTGACATGGGTTCTCTTCACGTTAGCCCTGTGCCTTGAGTGCCTGTCTCGAAGGGTTGGTTTTGCCCTCAGCCCAAAGCAAAATGTGTACCACTTGTGGAGGCCAAAGGGTGCAGTTGCTACTCTAAGAGCACCCAGGGGTGCGCCTCCCCTTCCCATTTTACACTAAGAAGATTTGAAAGAGACTTAGTGGTCATTAAGCTGGTTCTGTCTGAAGGGGAGGGAGCGTTGTATGCGAAAAACTGTCGGCTCTTGAGCCTCGGATCCGAAACTTGAGGAGGTTAATTAAGAGTGCTAGACCGCGCAAGTGATGGAGGGTGCACTTTATTGAAAAATGCGCTTCTTTACTGCATGCTCTTGAGCTCCCTCAGTTGGCTTCGTCAGGCTGTTGGATCTGGGCGTAGACCTACTACTGGAGCTTAAGCCTGGCGGCTCTGGTACCCTTCTCAAATGATCACTGAGAAACAAATGACAGAGAGAGGTGGCTTATCTTCGCAGATGTTACTGGAAAGCCTGATCTAAACGCGTATTTGGAAATTTTTTGCATATCCAGTCAGTTGACTGTTTACGCTAAGCTCCTTCCTCGAAGATTGTAAGGGACAGCTCTCTTTTTCGATTTTAAACATTCTTAACCATTTCTGCCGTCGTTTGGAATGTTGTCTCATTCATTCTGAACGAATTGTTTATCTTTTTGTGACATCTCATTTGTGGAAATAGAGTTGCCTGTATAAATACAGTTCATATTTAAAACTCAATACTAATTCTAGGCAATAATTACAGTTTGAGCTAAAGAAGATGTATCAGATGGCTTTATTTGAATTAAGGGAACCTCGTGGTGCCGAGGTTAATCAGTTTGAACCCACCAGATGATCCGCGGGAGAAAGAGGCTTCCTTAAAGATTATAGCCTTAGAAACCCTATGGGGCAGTTCTACTCTGTTGTATAGGGTCCATTCTGAGTCCGAATTGAATTGATGGCAATGGGTTTGGTTTTGGTTATTTGAATTTAAAACCTATCTCCGTATCTTTATTAGGAAATGAATGCAGAAGAAGAGAAGATAGGGATTTGATAATTTGATGGTGAGTTCTGGTGGTGCAGTAGTTAAAGCATTCAGTTGCTAACCACAGGTCGTTTTGAGGGAAAAAGATGAGGCGATCTGTTTCCTAGCGATTGAGAGCCTTGGAAACCCTCTGGGGCACAGCGTCTCTGTGTCAGAATCAACCTGATGGTAGTGGGTTTGGTTTGATTTGGTTTGGTACTAAATAATCATTTTAAGTGCCTCTGCAACCTAGTTTTGTTTGTTTTTTCCTCTGATTTAGTTCTCCAGATTTTGGCACCTGGAGATTTTCCTACCTCAAAAAGTGGCTTGTTTTGTTATTTGAGGCTGTGTGGATTCTGACTCATGGTGACCCCACGTGTATTACAGTAGAACAGTGCTCCACAGAGTTGTCAAAGTTGTGATCTTTCAGAAGCAGATCTCCAGACCTGTTTTTCAAGGTGCCTCTGGGTAGGTTTGAATTGCGCATCTTTCAGCTGGTGTTCCAGTGCTTAATCATTTGAACCACCCAATTTCCTTCGAAACTCTTCCCTAACTCACGTCATAGTGATTTATTTTTCCTCATTCCCTTCAGCAACATTATTTCTTCAACATGTTACCATTCTTTTTCTTTACTGAAAAGATTATTTTTCATTCCCTTCATCATCTTTCAGGTTCTGTGCATTTAATCTGAATTTGCTGAATCTCACTGATCTTTTGACTTTTTGCTGTCTTTTCTGTTTAGTTTGAATAATACAGCCTAACATTTTAATAGTAGTATATAGGGTATACTTCTTGAATCCCTAATTCATAGTGTTTCATTGAATTCCTCTGTAGCAGTAATTGAGGAAATTTATCAAATGAATGTGTAAGTGGAGCACTGTAACAATTCCTGTCCAATGATTTTATCCACCCCCTCCCCATTTTACTAGAGCCTGGGTTAAGTGCTTGGATGCTGACCAAAAGGTCAGCAATTTGAACCCACCAGCCACTCTGCAGTCTTCTTCCATGCAGATTACAGCCTTGGAAACCCTATGTGGAAGTTCTGCTTTATCCTGTAGGGTCATCGTGAGTTGGAATTGACTCTTCAACAAGGATTTTTCCCACTTTATACTGAGAAGCTTTGAAAGAAACTTAATGGTCATTAAGCTACAGAGCTGAATCTTAAAACTTCTTGTCCAAAGATAATTCCAGTCTTTCATTTTCTACCTAATTTGGATGCCCATTACAAAATAAAGTTTTCAGAAGTCCTTGTTTAAGTTCCCAACTTTCTGTTCTTGATGCTCTAAGCATCTCCATATTTTTTAGGCTAAAATAAATAACTGATAGTTCCATTTATGAAATAGTTCAGTCCAAAGAATTTAATAAGTATTTATATCCTAACAATTTTGTGACCTTTTTTTAGTACACATAAACTGAAATTTTAAAAAAATTTTATTTGTGTTTAGTTCTTTATTAACTACACTTGGCTTTCTAAGGGAATGTGTGCACCTGCTGAGGCCAGACTGCACAACTTCTCAAGCCTTGAAATCATACCATGCCACTCTCATTTCTTTTTTTGATACTGATTTTCTTATGTTGTTGTTGTTGTTATTTGCCGTCGAGTCGGCCCCGACTCATAGCGACCCCTCCTTGGGTTTCCGAGGCAGTATCACTATGGAAGTAGGGTTGCCCAACCTTCCTTCCAAGGATTTTCTTATATTGGCTCTAAAATCCCAGCTTCACAAAGTTAAGATGTCATTGAAAGAAATATAGTAAGGTCTGTATAGTTGAAGCTATGATCTACCTGAACCTAGTAGTTTCTGTAATAAACCACCAGATGTCACATATTGCAACTGTGTGCCAGATGACTTTGTTGTAGTACCCCAGGGGCACCCCAGCACACAATTTGGGAATAGATGTTATAGAATAGTTTAAGGCTCAGAATAGAAATGGAACTGGTACTTGTATATCCCTAAATCATTACTGGTTTTGGTGCCAATTTGACTTTTTTTTTTTTTCCTCCTGAATTGTGATATGGGTGAAGGCTTATAGAGAAAATTCATTTTCTATACAACAGTTCATATATTTTGTTTCATGACATTGATAACAATCCCCATAGTGTAACAATTCTCTTCCCACTTTCTCCCTGTGGTTACCTTTTCCCTGTGTTCTTCTTTCCTATGAATTGCTGTCCTCTGAACTATCTGTGTAACTGCTCTTCTGATCTCCTATGGTTGATCATTCTAAGGAGTGCACTTGCCTGGTATAAATGTTCACCTTATATGCCTGTCGCCAATAGTGAATTTTGTGAATAAGATTATATATGTTTGAGTATTGTATGTAATACTACCATATTTAGAAATTTATATGTAGTATATGTAACCTTTTTTCAATGTTCTTGCCACTATATAACTTTTTAAAACTTAGTTGATCACTGAAATTAAATGATTAGCTTCTGGTTAAAATTGTTTTAAAGTTCAGCATTATTACTTATAAATAATATCAAATTTTTGCTATTCCAGTGTTGGTTTATGAAGTTTGACCATCAAGCCAAGTAATCAAAAATGGAAAATTCTAAAAAAGCAGAGGAATATGAAGAGATCTCTTTTGAAGAGACAAAAACATCAGTGAATTCTGAAATAGAGTCTTCATTCAGTATTAATGAAAATGTGACAGCTTCTGAGATTGGGCCTTCTGAAAAGGTTCCTATTTGTGAGCAAGTAGACACACCAAAAAAGAGAAAAATGGAGTTTGAAGATGATCTTATAAAAGAAAGTTCCAGTTGTGGGGAAAACACTTCATTCAAAAAAAGAAAACTTGGTGCTAAAATTTTCCCAGAGGAAAAAAATTCTGAAGATGGTGATGTTTCAAAGAAAAGAAAAATAGAAGCTGATGATGTTCCAGCAGATGGGTGTTCTACTGGAGATGGTGCTCAGCGAAAGAGAAAAGTAGAATTTGAGGATATTTCTGAAAAACAAAAAGTATGTTAAATGTATTTCCTTTTATTCATATTGTAATATGTCAAATTGAAATGTGGGACACCTGTGATGGTTTTATTTTTTTGGGTACATAATCTTAATAACTTAAGAATGTTCTTTTTAATGGGATATGGTCTTAATACGGAGTAGACATTTAACTTTTATTTATTTATTTTTATTAAGGTAAAACCTCCCCTGCTCCTGATTTGATTTTATGTTATTTCAGAATGCTTGACTGAAAACTTGACAGTTTTTGTAGTTAGCTTTTTTGTAGGTTTTTTTTTTTTTGAAAATACAAGCTTATAAAGTCTTGATGATTTACTTTTTTCTTTTTTATTAGATGTTCATCTCTTTTTTATCACTTGAGATCATCACTTAAAGTGATAAATTTCAAAATTACACCCAGCTTTTCACTCCTTTAATAATGTAATTGTTTAAAGAATTATATGTTTTCTAGCTTTAATTAATGTATTTTACATACATTTTTAGCTAAGTAGGTATAAAAACCTGATATTTAAGCAGAGTTGTAGAGCAAAAGATAGCAAGTCATTTACATTTGGGAATACCATATTACAAAGGAGGCTGAAGCAGAATCTAATTGGAAAGAAAGTGTACTGTGATGAATGAGAAGTAGCAGATAGGCCAGACATTTGTCATTGTTGGAATATGAATCCCTGTAGAAGGGAACTAATAACATCATTTTCAAACTATTACTAGCTGCAGAACCCTTTTCCCAGTCAAAATCTTACACTCAAACCTGATGTATGTGGTTGTTACATGCTGTCAAGTCGGACCTGACTCATAGCTACCCCTCCTTGGGTTGCTGAGGCAGTATCACTGTGGAAGTAGATTGCCCAACCTTCTTTCCGAGGAGTGGCTGGTGGGTTTAAACCGCCAGCCTTCTGATTAGCAGTCAAGTGCCTTAGGCACTGCACTACCAGAGCTGGGTGAGGTTGAAAGGGGGCATGAGAGGGAACTGAAGTCCTTTTCCTACCATGGCATTTTTACAGAAATGCCTTAGGGAAAACAGGTTGAAAACTGTTGTATTAGATTAATAGCATATAATAATAGAAAATGTTGATGTTGAATATAGCCCATTGTGTTCTGATACCTTTGCATATATTATCTCATTTAATCCTCATAAAAATTCTGTAACAATAATATAATAAAAATAATTATGTTGTTGTGTTGTTGTTAGGTGCTGTCAAGTCGGACCCGACTCATAGCGACCCCTTCCTTGGGTTTCCCAGGCAATATCACTACAGAAGTAGATTGCCCCATCTTCCTTCTGAGGAGTGGCTGGTGGGTTTGAACC